GGACAAGAGGTCCTTTAGTGGCCATAGACATTCACAAGGAGTGGGCTCACCACTTTGACAGTCTCACACAGCCTTCTGGCCCAGTTTTTGTTTTTTGTTTTTATTAAAACAGCAATCAGACAACTGCCCCAACCCATTAGGGATAGGATCCAGGACAGGTAGTCCTCTCTTCAAAGAAAAAATATATATATATATATCTATATATATATATCTATACACACACACACACACACACACATATGTATATATACTAAAAGCGAATGCATAGCCTGTGAAGCCAGTCCCCAAGGAGAGTATCCCTCCGGGCAGGGACCTTGCGGCCCACCCTCCTAGACCCCAGCCTGAGCAGACAGGGTGAGTCTTGGCCTGATGGTTCCCTAGGGGGTGGCAGAAAACTTATCTGGCTCCAAACCATGCAAAACAAACAAAAACAAAACCAAAAAAAACCAACAGCCAAACCCACAAAGCAAAAAAGAAAAAAAGAGGGTAAATTTTAAAACATGAGCCAACAGCCCTGGTAGACGTAGCAGGAGGCTAGGCCACCGGTGCCCCTTGGAGGCCCGTTTGCCAGTGCGGGGCGAAGGCCTCAAGCGGCTCTGCTGTCTCTCAAGGGGGCTCAGGGGACTCATGTGGCTCATCCCCCTCCGCGCCACCCAGGCCAGGACAGAAATGTGGCCACCCTGAGTCAAAGTGCACAAAGTCCATTCAGTCAAGAAATAAAAAAATATACAACTTGGGTGGCATCCAGGGCTGGGCCAAGGCAGTGCACACGTGCCAGCTGCCTTCTCTCGAGGGGCAGCAGCATCTGTTGGGGGCATCCAGGTCCCTCCTAGTCCAGGGTCTTGGGGGCTGAAGACTTGGGGTCCTTGGAGCAGCAGGACAGAGGCACTGGTGGGGCCCACGTGGGCCCAGCAGGAAGCCCTGACAGTTGGGTTCTTTGGCACTTGGGACCCCCCCGCCCCCTCCCAGAATGCCCCAGGCTGGTATGGCAGTAGCTTATGGGCGTGGGCAAGCACTGCCCCTGCAGAGGGGGCTCGGGGCTGCGGGAGGGCCCTGCCCTCTATGGGTCCTCTCCCAGGATCTCCTTCACGAACGCTGCGATGTCCGTCTTCTTGGTTTTGTGCAAGGTGAAGAAAGGATGCTCCTGATGGGGGACAGGAGAAGGCATGAGGCACAGGGGCCTCCCACCTCCCCACACCAGTCCAGACCCGGGTGCTCCTTCTGCTTGGAAAACTCCTACCACCCTTCTAAGGTCTCCGCCCCCAGAAAGCCCTCCCTGTTAGGGACAGCACTGATTGATGGCTTCCTCCTCGGCCCTCCAGTAGCCATCCACTGGCCATACTAAACTCACTTCTCCCCACACACGCCAGGCCTCCGCCCATGACGGGCATTCAGCTTGGAATGCCCCTCTCCATCAGAGGGTAAATCCTTATTCATCCTTCCAGGCCCAGTTCAAATGGCACCCCCTCTATGAAGCCTTCCCTGATGTCTTCAAATGAAACAGTCCACCTGCGCCCCCACCCCATCCCTCTGCGCCATCTGTCACAGCACGGCCTGTGTGCCCCTTCACAGGCCTGTCGTGGGGGAAGGAGGGAGCCAGGGAGTGAATCCGTACCTGAACTGCCCAGCTCTGTGCATGGGGACGTAGCCCTCCCCAGAGAGCCAGCCCAGCGCTGCTCCCATCCACTTACCATCAGCTCCAGGTAGCTCATGCGCTCTGCGGGGTTCTTCCTCAGGCTAGGGGAGAACAGGGCAGGTTGGGGCCAGGCTGGCATGGAGGAGGCAAGGCCAGCCCCTCCGGGCCAGCCAAGCCAGCCGGGCTGACCCCTGACTGGGCAGCAGGGGGACATATGTGCTCCTGGGGCTCGGGGAATAAGGAGCGGGACAGTTCCAGGGAGCTCCCGAGGGTGGAGTGGGATCTGAGGGTACAAACTACAGAGACTTAGACCAAGTTCTTGGCCTCTGGGTGTGTTAGTTCTTTGTCTCTTGGGGTGTTAGCTTTCTTGTCTCTATAGCAACCTAGGAAATTTCCAATGAACCTAATATTGAAATGATACTGAAATGCTACCATTAACAACTGTGTCTGTGGTGTCCTTAAACAGGGGGAAAAATTCCTTAACACAGGTCCTGGGAGAGGGGAGGACCTAATTAAAAGGAGTCAAAGTGACTGATGACTATTTACAAGCCTCGTTTGTCTTCAGTCTTTTTATTTTCTAATAAAAGAGAAAAAGGCTACAAATTTTCCTCCGAGTATCTCTTCACCCACAACACATAGATACTGACATGCTATTTTCTTACTACCTTTCACTTCTGAACAGCTTATAATTCCATTTTTCAAAACTCTCATAACCCAAGAGTGAGCAGAAGAATTTACTTTGAATTTCCCTTTAGTTGTGACGTCTCGTTTTATTAAATTATGGGCAGAGGCCATGGCCTGACGGCTTTGCCTTTTGCCTTTTTCCCTATTTCCTTTGTAATCTCAAACACAATTTTATAAGGTTCCTGTGAGCATTTGGTACAAAGTTCCAAACATCAATAAAAGTAAACTTCTTTATGCTACTCAAATCCTCCAAAAGCTTTTGTTCTCCTTCTGGTCTACCTCGGTCTGCCTACTTTCAGAAGGACTGTGCATATTTTGAGGCTAGTTGTTTGGGGTTATTTGCTAAAGGAGAGGGCGACTGGCCCAGGGAGGAGCCATGGTCTGGCCAGGAGAGGGCTGCAGACTCACCACTGTGCAGTGAAGTCCACAAACTCAGGAGAGAAACGGTCAGCTGGGAGCTGGGGGGACGGCTCCTCCACCACCTGCTTCAGCTGCTGGAACGGGGTCCCCCAGGACTCATAAGGAAAACGCAGAATAGCCATCTCAATCTGCAGTGAGGACAGCAGCACTGGGTCAGATAAACCCACACTCTGCACCCAGAAGCAGGGCACCTGGAGCTGGCCAAGAGGCCAGTCAAGTTCAAAGGACATCGGGTCAAAGATGAAAGCCAGGCGGACACAGCGTTTGCTACTCTGACCAACCAGCAACAATTATGGCTCACGGAGCAGGTCCTGCCCTGGGTTATGACTAGTTTGACCACCCTCAGATTTTCAAACAATCTGAATTCAGATTTTACATAAAAACCCAGGTTCCAGCTAATCTAGGAAAATCAGAGGAGCTGGCAGCCCTGAGCAGCCTTTCCCCAAGGCAACATTGGCAAAGGAAGTTGGACAGGCAATAACTTCACTATTCACCACAGGCCACTCCCCTCCCTAATGTCTCTACAATGTCCCAGCCTCTGCTGCCATTGATTAGAGGAGAAATGGGAATGAGATGATGCTCACTCATACACCCCTCTCTCCCCAAGGCTGAGGAAGGAATGTTACACCATGAGGCCCACATCTGATCAGCTCCTTCACTGCAAGAACCTGCTCCAGGCCCCATCAGGTGTGAAGTCTGAAGCCCCCCTCCTCCATAGCTCCCCATCACCTGCCCATCAACATCCTGTAAGGCCCATTTCCAATGCCTCCTCCTCCAGGAAGCCTTCTCCTCTCTGCCTCCATTATCTTCTCCCTGACTCCCTGGCCACCGTAGCCTTGTCAATCCTGCTAGACCTGGACCTGGACCTGCACCTCCCTGCATGCGACATCGGGGGCCCCCAGGCTCTGCACCCATGCCAGGCACCCAGCCTGTACCTCGCCTGCCATGGGCAGAAAGTCACTTATGGAACAAACTGGCTAGCTTATGACAAACTCGGAGTTCTGATTTTGACCACCAAAATGAAAAAACAAATCAGGTCAATGCAGGTCCCTGCCTGAAACAGCACAGAGACTTCTCGATGACAGAAGAGCCCTCAACTCAAACAAATGCTTCACATTGGCAGCTGGCACCCAAATCGATCACTAATTACTATGCTAAGAAAAACTCTTCCCATAAAGCTAAAGCCCCTCCCCAGCCATGATATAAACACCCCTCAGGTGGGGGACATGCACAGCACAGTGGGTGTGATTCTGTGTGTGTATTTTCACAGGAAAAATTCAGGCTGCACTTTCCTAGTTTTCGCTGATGCCAATAAGCAGGAGTGAGAACCCTGTATGGACTACAGAGGAGGGCCAGAGACCTACCAGAGTTTATAACTTAAAAATCAAAACATGTCCAAACCCTTGACCTGCTAATCCCTTTCCTGGTCATTTTCTCTAGAGCTCAAAAAAAAAATGGAAAACAAAACAAAAAAAGCCCTCAGGGCCCAGAGGTGCATGGAATGGTGTGATTCATAATAGTGAATATTCAGAAGCAGTCTAAACACCCAGCGCCAAGGACCAGCCTGCCACAGGGCAGCTGAGAGGAGTGCCCTGTGACCCCAGACAAGCGCTCCTGTGGTCAGCACCTGGTCAACATTCATTATGGCCGAGAGCCTTCGGGTGTCTATCGTAGTAAGTGTCCTGTGGCTGGGGTCAGTTGCCCACAGAGAGCTGCCCAGGGTGGGCTCACAGGATGGGAGGGGGGCCACCCAGAGGGTGAGCCAGTGTGCAGTGCTTCACCTGTCCCTCCTCAGGATGGCCAGGGACTTGCAGTGGGAAAAAAACACAGAAACAAGTGACATGCCCCAAGTTAGGAGACTGGCTGAGCAGAGAGTGGCAGATGGTTGTAAATTATTTGGAAGGGATGCCTACAGGGGTTAATCCGGGGAAACATGAATGATGTGAGGCTGTGTGGAAAAGGCAAAATATATGTTTTTACAAAGAGCAAAACACCTAGAAGGAAACAGTGTTGAGTGCTAAACGCCGACGGTGGGAGAAGGGGCTGTGTGTGTGGAGGAGAAACACCCGGTGACTTTTCCTTTTCTCTTCCTCTGCATTTTTATATTGTGTTTTTATCACTTTGTCACTTCCCTGTGACAGCAGCTACACTCCATGTGTGCTTGCCAGTGCCCCACCCAGAGGGAAAAGATCCTCCTGAACCTGGGCTGGCTTGTGACTCGCCTTGACTACACGACAAGGCAGACGGACACCGGGCTGGCCCTGGGCCTAGACCTTAAGAGCACGTCCCTGTGGAAGCCACTCACAAGGCTGCCGGTCCCCTCACTGCTGCTGTGAGGACACCCCGGGAGCAGGCTCGCCCTCAGGAAGTCAGTAAAGCCTTCTTGAACCTTCCAGCCCGGCCCAACCCCGACCCCAGCTGTGCCCCCAGCTAGAACCGTGTGGAGTGGAAGACCCACCCTGCTGAATCCAGCTGACTACAGACACATAAGAAATAATAAGCCATGGTTGGTTTTTGAGTCACTAGGTCCAGACGTGGTCTGTTACACAGCACTTGACACCTGAAATACGTGCCTAGTTCCAGTAGAGACATCACAGGTCACTAGAATATGGTGGGTCCCCAATAATGCTGATAGACGGACAGATGGGAGGGACAGAGAGACACTCCTATAAATATAGCAAGAACTCCCTCTTATTTTTAACTGAGGATTTGGAAAACTTTCACCTGCAGGTATAATATCTACTTTTGGACTGTGGATACTGCTCCACTTCAAAAAGAAAAAGTTTCATTGCAGTATTAAGGAAAACTGAAGGTATCACCAGTTCCTCCACTTCATCTGACAAAATGATTTTGATTTTGACTCCTTCTCAGTCACTGTGAACAGACACAGCTTGTAAAGTTACAATTATACAGTGATGAGGAGGATTATGGTAACTGCAGCATCGGTAACATCTAGAACACCTCCATTGATCCTGAGCCCCCACCTAACACTTCTCTAACCTCCCAGACCTGTCCTCAGGCTCACACTAGGCCCACCTCACCTAGGGCTTCTGCCCCCAGACCCCTGCAGCCCACACCCCCGCTCCCACCCAGCGGCTTTGCTGCTCTGCTCCTGCTGCCCCGGTCGCCCCCACTCGGCTCAACTCTTAACTCTTCTCCATACCCCTTCGCACCATGTTTTACTGGTTGATTTTGACTATTGACTGCACTCTGTCCCCAACACCGAGAAGCCAGGGACTGAGGCACAGAGGGTGCTGACACCCCCCAGAAACATCAACAATCCACACCCGTTAGTTCCAACGGTTGTGACAAGAGCGTGGGGGGCAAAAACCATTCAGGCCAATAAGTCAGCTGGACTAATTCATGCATGATGGGCCCCTGACAGTAACGTTTTCCCGAGTATGCAGGTCTCACACACAACTAAGACTCCCTGGTGGCATCCTAGTCTTTTTCCTGTCCCTACAGCCAATGTCCCACCGGGTGCCTAAGTGGACTTCCAAAAAATAACTAAGTCTTGACCCACCTGAGCAGGGCCAGGGTTCTGCTGGACATTTCTTTAAAAAAGAGAGTCACATGGGCCCAGCCCTACCCTGGAACCTCCGATGGAGCCACTCCAGCTTAGCCAAGGGCTGTGCCCAGCCCACTCCGGCCCCCACAGGCCCAAGACTGAGAGCCACCTGCTCCATCCTACCACACCATGGAAATGCACCAGGACCCCACAGGCAACATACTTCTTGCTGTAAAAAATTTTTTAAAGATTTTTACCATTTTTGCTTCTAAAATTTTTTGTGTGCCAGCTCACTTAATTTGGAATTGGCTGTGATTTCTCAACAAGCAACATGAGCTCTGGATAAAGTCCAACAGACCAGTGAGCACTGCTGTCCAGAACTTTTGTGAAGGGTCCTCCTCACTACTAGGGAGGGCTTAACATCACTGTAGTCGTTTTCTTCTCAGATTGTGAAGCCAACACTGTTTTCCAGGGTCTAAACTATTTGATGGGCCCTCCAAAAGCTCACCCACTGATCGAGCGTTGCCCCTGCCAGGCCCCACCCAACCAGCCAGGCCTGGCCTAGCCCCAGCAGTACCATGGTGATGCCAAGGCTCCAGACGTCGGACTTGACATTGTAGCCCTTCTGGTTCAGCTCCGGGTTGATTCTCTCAGGCTGCAAGAAGGACCAGTGAGGCATAAACACCCCCTCACAAGGAGGGGCCAGAACAGAGGTGAGCCACACACCCCCAACTGGGTCTTGCCTCCCCAACCTATCCCACCTCCCCATGGGACAGATGAGGAAACTGAGGAGAGGGCCAGAGTCTTGTGGTGAAGGCCCAAACCTTGCCTCAAAGGTACCCTCAACTGGGGGTTGAGAAGAGCACCTTTAGGAAACTGGGGGAGGAGTGGGACCTGCACAGACCCCACGAGTTGCCTCCGTGTGGGTGTCCATAAAATTTGTCATCCAAATGGGTACTTCAGGGCACAATTAATAACAAAGGTAGAGGGGCTGCTTGGGCAGGCTGGGTGTCAGAGCGCCACCTTTGTGGCACGAAAATGCGGTATCTGGAGGAGGCCCTGTCCCTGATGGACAGAGGACATGTTATCTCCCAGGCACATCCTCTCCTGACCCTCAGCTGTGGTCCAGGAGTTGGGGTTGGGGGGACTACTCACGGCCATGTAGGGCTTGCAGCCAGCATCCATCGTCTTGGCCACAGAATCCACCAAGTAGCCGCTGATCCCAAAGTCACACATCTTCACGTGCCCCTCCTTGTTGATGAGGACATTAGATGGCTTCACATCTGCCAGGGACAAAACAGGCCTTTCAGCTCCAGGAGTCCTGGCTCCTGGGGGCAGATGCTGCTCTGGCCCAGGGAGTGAATGAGGGGCTGAGGCTCCAAGAGGCACTGCCCAAGCAGCAGGCGACGACACAGCAAAGACGTGCTCTGGCCACCAGCCACGTGTAAGGACCAAGTCAGGGCTTGGCTGCTCCACCCCAGATGGCGTCCTGGTGCCATCAGCAGCACTTTGGAGACGAGGCCCAGAGAAGCAGGCTGTGCAGCCTCCAACTGCGACTCAACCTCCACTTCCCGGCACAACCTCTAGCTCTGGGGTCTTCCCAGGCTGGGGTGCAGGGGTCCTCGCTGACAGGGTGAGACCCAGAAACCACCCAAGTGTCCATGCCAAGGAGCCAGCAGGTTCAGCCAGGAAGCACAGGGCAGCAGCTAAAATAGCAGGTGCAGGTCTGCAAGAGAACATGGAGCCCACCCCATGACTCAAGACTGACCAGAGCAGGCTTCACAGCAGGAAACCTTCCAGCAAACGTACACACAACACACACAGCCCATGTGCTTTCTACAGGGATGTGCACACGATAGAAATGCACAGAAAAAGGTCTGGAGGTTCCATGTTGAACTGCTGACAGTGGTGAGCTGGGGGTGGGCTTGGGAAGTCCACTGAGTGGCCAAAGGGGTTCAGTCTAATTAACTTTGTAGTAAAAAGCAGGACATCAGGGTAAGAGGACTACTAAGAATAATGAAAAGGGAGGAGCTACAACATGTACAAGCTGGGTGGATCCCAGAAACATCAGGCCAAGTGGAAGAGGCTGGGCAAAGGGCATGAGCATGTGAGTCCAGTGCTATGAAGTTCAAGAACCAGGGAGCCAGTCTACTGGGTGAGATCAGACAAGGAGCATGGGGGGATGCGGGGCTCAGAGACCAGCCAGAAGGGCCGAGAGAACTTTCCAGGATGGGGTGAACGGTGGAAACATACTGCATCTTGCCAGGGGTGGCGGTTACATGGGTATAAACTCTGAACAGATTCATTGAACAGTAACTACAGATCTGTATGTTTCACAATATGCAAATGATATATCCAAACAAAATCAGTCAGCCTTCCCAGGGAAAAGGTCCATCTAGTCCTTCTCGGAATACCAGCAAACCTAAGGGGAGGTGGCAAACCTAAGGGGGGGTGGGACTAGGTGGGGGCCAGGAAAAGTGGCTTGGAGAAGTAGAGTGGTCTAGACTGGGAAGCAGGCTCAGCTCCTAACTCCAGCAGGTGCATCCCTCCCTGTCACTCCTCTGAGCCTCAGCAAGCTCATCTTGAAAAGGGAGAGAGGTCCACCCGCCTCATAGGACTGGATGAGACCATGCGTATGAGTGGCCTTGGACCTCCCTGATGGTTGGTGGTGGGCACTGACCTCTGTGAATCACCGACAGCTTGCTGTGCAGGTGCTCCAGTGCCCTCACAATCTGACATGCGGGACAGAGAAACAGAACTGATGTTACTTCTGGTTGCATCGACGACAGAGCAGTAGCACACACCCCATCCGTGTCCACCTGTCTCCCTTACTTACATACCCAGCCCCTCATTAACCCAGGCTCCTACCCACATCCCAACCTTTGCCCCAGACACCTGGCAACTCTGACCTCCTGCTTCTCTCCTACCCACCCAAGTGGGCCAGGGTCTTGGGCCCAGCATTTACCAGGGAAATGATGTACTGGAAACCCCTGCAGAATCCTGGGCTCATGAACCCCCAAGGGGGCCATCACCACTCCCTACCAGGCTCTTGGGTAAAAGTCAGCCCTTCTGTAGCCTCCCTGGCTCCTCTCTTCTCCCTCAGCAGAGCTAGTGGACTATGTACCTGAGCTATTCCCTTCAGGAAGACACAGTAGGGGTGCCTGGGCAATCATCCCAAAGATTCTGACTCAATACCCAGCCCAGGCATGGGTATGTTTTAAATAGACCCAGATGCAGCCAGGATTAAAAACCACGTATATACCCATTTCCTTTTTTCCTCTGGCTGCCAGGAGCTAGAGCCCAGTGTTGCTACACTCCTCTAGCAACATTCAACCTCAAGAGGTTGGGGGCTGGGTGAGAACGGTGAAGGGATTAAGCAAAGACAAAAAGAAAGACTCCTGGACACAGACAACAGTGTGGTGACTGCCAGAGGGAAGGGGGAGGTAGAAGAGGGTAAGGGGGGTAAATGGTGGTGGAAGGAGACTTGACTTGGGGTAAAAAACACACAACACAATATACAGATGATGTGTTATAGAACTGTACACCTGAAACCTATATAATTTTATTAACCAATGTCACCCGAATAAATTCAATACGAATAAGTAAACAGATAAATAAATGTGAAAGGCAGACTTCAGGATGCTGACCTCCCTCCCAACTTAGCCTGGGCCTCTTTGAGCTGTCTCCGGGCCCTTTCGGCAGGAGGAAGCTCTAAGTACGAGGTCCTTTTTTAAAATGGTCCAAGAGCTTGGGGGCTGCATTCAAGGGCCTAGAGACCCAGGAGCGCCTGTGTAGCTCTGGGAGCCCTAGGCTCCAGGGTCTCCTCAGCAAAAAGGCTCTGGTTCAGGTTGAGGAGTTGGCCCCTGGGGGGCTGTCACCCAGGTTCAGGGCCACACTGGGGCCCAGCTCTGCCCAAGATACCACATCAGACTGGGCTTTGTGCCTATTGGAGCCAGGCTGGGGCCTCTGGCTATGCACCTGGAACTCCCAACCCCACCAGGCTTGCAGCCACTTACAGAAACAGCAATCTCCCCCAGAATGTCTTCTGGAATCATCATGCCTTTATCGAGCACCTTACGGTAGAACTTGTCCAGGGATGTGTCCATGAGTTCCATGCAGATCCACACATCTCCCTGTGGGTGGACACTGGAGGTTAGCTCAGGCCCACTGGGGCTGCACCTGTGCCTGGACAGCCAGGCCTCTGGCAGACACATCTGCCTACCCCAGCTTCTCCCATCCTGCCTTCCAAAATCTCAGCCCGCCCACTTCTCCACCATCCAGGTTTGCCTACATTGCTGGGGTCACACTCCAGCCTCCCCCAGCTCTGTTACCTTTGGTCTCCCCTATCTGATCCCTGATTCCATGGTAATTTCCAAGAAGAAGTGACTAAAACACACACCTTACTGTGTCCCTCCAACAGGAATTTTCAGGATGTGGCTGCAGCTCAGCGCCATGACCCAGCCCTGCAAGTCCTCCTGCTTTAGCCCTGATGGCCCCCAACACATATGGCTCATCCCAGCTCTGACCTCAGCAGAAAGTTCCCTCCTCCACCCACAATGCCCTGCGTCCCTAGCCTCTGATCCCCAGCAAACTCCTGAGTATCCTTCAGGACAGCCTTCTCGCAAAGACTGGGTGCAGCATCTCCTCTGGCACCCACAGGCCCCTGGGCCTTCCTGCCAACTGGGACCCAGCATATGGTGAGGCCCCCTCGCCCCCCGAAGAGACAAGGGATGGGCAGCCTGAACTGGCACAGGGGATGCTCAGCCACTCAGACGAGTGGCGATGAGGCACTGACCAACCACTGGGCCTGGCACACCCAGCAAGCCCAGGGACCCACCAGGCCTGAGAGTGAGGCTGGGCACCGAGAGCCCTGACCTCACCCCTGAACTCGATATGGTAAATCACCATTGCAAACCAAGAGCATCTAACCTGGACTCCTGGGCTCCACTCACACCCAACATCAGCCCTTCACGCCATCCAGCAGGAGCCCATCCTTTCAGTCCACAGGCCACACTCCCTTGGCTTCACCAGTCCTCTCACCTGACACTAACACCCAGTCTCCCCGAGGACCCAGAACCACACCCTGCACACCTCCACAGCCGCCCCTGCCTGGAGCCCCCCTACCAGCCAGGAAGCTGATAAGGCAGGTGGTCACACAACCTGTGGCACACTCACTGAATGCCAGGCCAAGGGCGATACCATTTCATCTTATGACAACCTTGTGAGGTGAGTACAATTAAGGGTCTCATTTCATAGACAAGGAAACTGAGGCAGGAAGCAAAGAAGACAGGCAATCTGGCTGCTAGGCCTGAGCTCGGAAGAGCCCCGCTCTGCTCTCACAGGTAGGCAGGGCCTGTTTCATTCCTGTGCCCAGCACCTGGCACACAGTGGCACTCAGCAAGTGTCTGATAGGGGCTCAGAATGATCAAAAGGAGGCTTCAGGATAGGTGGAGGAGGGCAGGTGTGCAGACGGAAGGGAGGGCAGGGTGGTTTCTCCCAGCCCTAGCCCAGCACCCACCTCCCACCCTCCCGCCAAGGCCGCACCTCTCTGAAGAGGGCCCCATAGAAGGTGACAGTGTAGAAGCAGTCAACTGTGCGCATGTTGACGTCCAAGTCCATAAGCAGACGCTTCTGCTCCTGTGAGTTCACGGTGGCCCGGATCCGCTGCAGGTGAGAGGGCTGGAGTTAAGGGGCAACCCGGCAGGAGGCGAGCACCCCACCATCCCTTATGAGGGCTAGGTAGGCTCAGACCCGACACCTTCTGCAGGCAGCATCCTGGGTGTCCCGTAGCCCAGTGCTCCCTGGCAGGGCAGGACCCTGCTTACCTTAACAGCCATGATGGTGCCACTCTGGGCGTGTCGTACCTTCTCCACCACCCCATAGGCTCCGCGACCTAGCTCCGAAATGGTCACCAGGTCATCAGCCTCCACCTCAAAGTTCTTTGGGGACATAAAAGAGAAAAGGTTGGTGGTCAAAAGTTAGGAGCTGGCCCCTCACCTCATTCAGTGGAGAGAGCTGGGGCAGCAGAAAGAGAAGACAGCCAGTCAGACCTGGGTTCAAATCCTACACCGACCACTTCCTGCTGTGTGACCTAGGGCAAGTCATTTAACCTCTCTGAGCATCATATTACCATCTATAAAGCAGGAACAGCACCAATATCCCAGGAGAGCCTGTGAAACTCCCCCAGTGGGCACAGAGAGCTTGAGATGCCCTTTCCCTCTGGCTCCCCACCCCATGCAGAAGGGTGGACTGAATTACTCATTCAACCAGTATTTCACTGAGCACCTACTATGTGGGAGTCCATTTTAGGCATTGAAGACAGAGGAAACAAAACAAAGGTCTTGCCCTCACAGTAAGCAGTGTGGCCACGGGTCACCTACTCTCTCTCGCTCTCTATTGCGGGAGGCAGACAAAAAAGAAATAAGCCTCTGGTCGGTGTGGCTCAGTGGGCAGAGCCTGGGGATGGAAGGGTCGCGGGCTGGACTCCAGTCAAGGGCATATACCTCAGTTGCAGGCTCGATCCTCAGCCCCGGCCAAGGCACATGCAGGAGGCAGCCGGTCGATACCTCTCTCTCCCATCGATGTCTCTCTCTCCCTTCCACTTTCTCTGAAAAGCAATGGGAAGAACACCCTCGGGTGACTGGGTGAGGGTTACAGCAAAAAAGAAAGAAAGAAGCAGGGAGATGAGCTGGACATCGGTGACAAGTGTCCGGGAGGGAAATTCACGTGAAAGCAGCTGTCAGCCTAGGAGAGGCCTCCGGGATGAGATCTCTGCCTGGAGCCCTCAGTGAGCCAGGATTCTCAGTCCCTGCTGCCAAAGCCACTGGAGGGGCATGTGGGATGCAGATTCCCAGGCATGGCCCTGAGGGTCAGGCAGGCGTCTGCATGCTCCACACACAGTTTCCACAGGTGACATGGGGACAAACTCTGAGTTTCAGGAAAACTCAGAGCCCCATGAGGCAGGCCACTGTCCCCATTCCAGATGGGAAGACCAGAGAGGGGGCTCAAACAGCCAGCATCCAGGAAATGAGGCTCCTCCCCAAAGCCCAGCTCTGACACCCACAGCCACCTCTTAGTGGCCCTACAGGGTCCGCTCGGGCCCCTGTCAGGTGAGAAGACATGAAGGCCCCAGCCAGGCTGCAGCCAGCACCTACCCTGTCTCCGATGGTGATGAAGGTCCGTGAGTCCAGGTTTCTGGGGGGGCTTTAGGGAAAAACAGACCCCATGAGTCTCTGAGAAAACCACACCCTTCCCGACAGAAGGGGCAAACCCAGGACCAGAGTACATCCTGTCCCCGGAGGTGGCCTCCAGGTCCCTCATCAGTCACTGGGCACCTGCTGTGCCAGGTCCAAGGGGCCTCACCTTCCCATCCCTAAGACGGGCTGAGGGCACAGCACAGCCGCGCCCCAACCTGGCCAGCTCGAGGGAGGCTCCGCCGGGAGCACACTACCCCCTGCAGGCTACCATCCACCGGGGCCCCTCCAGGCCGAGCCAGGGGAGAAGCTGAGGCAGACTCACGTGGGGCTGGGCGCGGGTGGCTTGGACACACAGGAAATCCGTAAGTCCTTCTTCCTCTTGGACTTTCCTAAAAGGGGAGACAGTGAGGCGTCCTTGAGACAGTTTCTGCGAAGGCCCCCAGCCTGACAGCCATAGCAAACTGACAAAGATGCCCTCCCCCATCGTGGTGCTAACCTCGGTGGGGGCGTCAGAGGCAGAGAGAGCTCCTTTCAGGTCCCAGCTCTGCTGCCCACCACTTCGCTGAGCTTCGGCTTCCCTATCTGTCACCTTGGGGGTGGCTGGGAGGCATGGAACTGCTGCCCAGAGCCCATTTCTCTCCCACCCCCTCAGTTTTCGCCTTTGCTGCCCCTTGAAAGGCCACCCTGGAAGCCCACTCCCCTCATCGGGGCACCAGGTGGGCCTGAGTCCTGAGACAACGCCTCTCCCACCCTCACCCCGAGGACAGGGGAGGGCTTGGCCCTCCTGAGCCTGAGTGGTTGAGCTCCATGCCTCTCAAACTAGGCCAGTGTGGCCAGGTCCCAGGCATGCGCCGGTGCTAAAGGACACTCAGCTTGATGGAGCACTGGACAGGGCAGGGCTGCACGGCAGGGGGCGCTTTCACCAGGGCCACCCTTTGAAGATGGCAGGAAAGCAAGGTTTGGAGACACCAGGGAGCCCACCGGTGCGGAGGGAGGAGGGCTTGTGTCCACAGCCCCTTCGTCCAGATGCCCGGATTAGGGGCTCCGTTTTCCAGAGAAGGGAAGTGACTTGCCCAGGTCACTAAGCGCGCGGGCGGCAGAGCTGGGACTCGACCATGACTCCCCAAACCACCCACAACAGAAATGGTGACGCTCACATGCCAACTCCTGTAGGAGAGCCCTTCCTGCCTCCCTGCACAGCCCTGCCGCATGCTCCGCCTCCCCACCCGCCCTGCACAACCACTGCTGCCACACTGGCCACCAGGGAACTAAGACCGGGCGAGGCTCTGCCTCCACCTGCCACAAAGCATGGAGCACTGGGAGGCCACAGCCCCGAAACCACCTATGAACCAGGTCCAAATTCACCCTCTGCCATGCCCCACTGTGTGGCTGCCTGAGCCTAGCACGGGGGCCACCGTGCAGGCCCAGCAGCCAGGCCACCCGGCATGACTGTGGAGTGATGGGATGGGGTTGTTATTGACACTGGGAAGACGAGGCCTGGCCCAGCTGTCCTCAGAGCTTGTGATCCACTAGGGAACAGAACAGCCCCCATGGGGATGGGATCCCAGTGTCTGCACTGTTGTAGGTGGGCAGAGCACAGCAGTCTCTCCACAGAAGTACCTCAGGAACCCCCCGATGCCAGGCCAAAAACATGGGCTCTCTCTGCCCCAAGTTTAAATCCCATCTTTGCCCCTTACAGGCTGGGTGACCTCGGGCAACTCCTCATGCGCCTGAGCCTCAGTGTGCTCATCCTTGCAGTGGGGATGAGAAGAGCGCCTATGCTGTAGTTTCTGAGTAAAGCACTTAGAGCAGAACTCACAGCCCGTGTCAGAGCTACTGCGCCTGCCCAGGGCCTGACCCAGAGGCTCAGGAAACAGGTTTCCATAAATAGCAGCAGCAGCAGTATTCACTGGGCGCCTGCCACCCGCTCCCCTAGCACTGGGGTGCACCAGTCACCTCGTCATGACCTCACATGTGAAGAGTCCTCACCCCATTTTACAGAAGAGGCCATGTGAATGGTTGTCCAGGGCTCAGTGGGTCTCCAAAGCTTTCATCCATCAAAGAAGGAACCTGCCAGTCACATGTGTGGCCCCACCACAACCCTAAGGGAAGAGCTCTTAGCCTCACTTTATTTGGGGAAACTGAGGCTCAAAGGTGAAGCCACTGCACAGTGAGTCAGGGGTCTGGCCAGGAGGCACTCCTGGATTTGCTAACTCAGAGACACAAACAGGCTGGGCCAGCGGCTCACAGCACCCCCTCCTACAGGGAGCCTTGCCGGAGGGACAGGCCTATTATACCCCCCAGTGGGAGGCACGGTAGCATCTCAGGCTGACCAGGAACCCAGAGGCCCCCCAGGTTTCCCTGGGCCCAGCACATCCCACACAGCAAAAGGAAAACAGAGAAGTCAAGGCATGCGGGACCATCAATTCCCAAGGCCACTTCTGTGCTGCCCCTGGATCTAACTAGGTAGGCCCCCACTGACCTCTGGGGTAGGGACAGGGGCCCTGGATTGAAAGACTGTGAAGGCAACTGCCAGGCCGGTGTTGCCAACATTGCATTTGGTGTGTGGCAGCCCGAGGAAGTCCAGCTCTGCACCCTGGCTGAGACCAGCATTGACCCTCCTCTCTGCATCCTGAGACCAGCACAGTCCCTCCTCTCTACTTGGACCCTCCTCTCCACCCTGGCTGAAACCAGCACAGACCCTCCTGTCTGTACCCTGGCTGAGATCAGCATGGACCTGCCTCTCTGCACCTCAGATTCCAATTTGCAAAAGAGAACCTCAGAGAAACGCCCTGACAAGGTGAGGTCTTATCTGCAAGGCACTTGGCACTGGGCTTGGCACATGTACATGGTCCTATAATGGACCAGAAATGGGTGCTACTATTATTAAAGGCCTCTCCACAGAGGTGATAAATTTCATCCTAAGTAATGAGAATTATGGATACCTTTTATTCTTGACTTGACGCTTTTTGTAAGTAGAAAGTGAAACATTTTATGTTTAAAGTTAATAACCCACTCAGGGCCCTGCACTATTCTGCTCTTGGCTCCACTAGCACCTTCCTCTGACTCCAGCCTACACACCTATCTCCCACTCCGGGATTTCAGAATGCCATCAGATGTGTTCCCCCTCACCAAGCCTCAGTTTCCCTGTCTATCAAGGGAGCTTCCACACCTGGCCAGGCCAAGTGAGTGAGGACCATATGAGGAGGCACACGGCACTCAGTGAAGGTAGCCTCCAATCTGCTTTACTCCTAGGCCTTGGGAGGGAGAGAGGCTGCTGGGAGCACATGGGCTGGGCAGATGGGAGCACTATGGTCCTGGCCTTCTTGCCCTCCTGCCCATCAGGGTCACTAGGCTGCGTCTGGAGTGACATGGTCTTCCTGGGGCAGCTGTGCCAGCTATGGGAGGGAGTGGGTGAGGCTGCCATGGAGACAGCCCAGAAACAGGCCATAGGCCACAAGCTGCTGCCACTATTTGCCATAGACGTCAGCACTGGGCCCAGATGGCCAGGCAGCCCAGGGCTGCCCAGGTGCGAGGCTACTGTGGCGACCGTCACCACAACAAACAGAGTTTCACAGGCCACCACCACAAGCCACAATAAGCCCGCCAGCCTCGGCTTGCAGGGTCCCCAGCTCAGGCGGGCACAGCGCCAGGAGTCTGTGTCCTGGGCCAGCACCAGCTTCCCAGCAGTACCACAGGCAGGGAACAAGGAATTCAGCCACTGACCTACAATACACAGATAGTAAAGAGAGGCCCCTGGACTCAGACTCAAATCCCACCATTCTGTCAACCCCGTCTTTACTCCTCCTACTCATTTCTTGAATAAGCCACCTTCTTTCCACCTCAGGGCCTTGGCATGTTCTGTTCCCTCGCCTAGAATGCTCTACCCTGCAACGTTGTCCTAGCTGGTATATGATCCTCCCCTTTCACATGCTCAGAGACGCACTCCTGAATACTCCAACTAAACCCCCTTATTAATGGCTGTCTTTGTGTCCAACTGGCTTCTCTCCTGTCACTTCTCACAAGTCACCATCCTGTAGTTTCTATCTGAGAAGCAGCTAGCAAAATGCACTGACTGGAGCCAGGCAGCCTGAATTCACATGGTATCTCAGCCACTTCCTAGCTGCGAGCCCTTGGGCAAGTGACTTACCCTCTCTGGACAACATGGCCTCAACTGTGAAATGAGGATGATGGACCAGCCTCCCAGGATCATCAGGTGTGTAATGAGGTGGCCAGGGCATGCCTCAGCAGTGCCTGACACGTGGAAGATTACATGGAGCCATCCGGAAACCACAGTACCCAAGATAACCCCAGCCCTCTTCCCTAGACAGCCACTGTTAATACTCTCAGCAGCTCCAGGAGGGAAAACTTTTCTTGTGTCTGTTTTACCAAGGGGTTCAGAGAGCTCACAGAGTGAATGTCTAGTAGGAGGCAGACATGAAGACAGGTCTGTTGGCTTCAATGACCAAACATCAACAAAGATCCTGAGAGAGGGGCCTTCCTAACCCTGCAGCCACCCCAGTCCCAAGGCCTTGGGGAGGTTCTAAATAAACTCATCTGTGCCACTTCCTCTCAGGGTTAGTCATGGGGGTAGTGGGTGGGACAACCCCTCACCATGAACCCTGTCAGGGATTCCACTCACGAAGGGGCCCCACAGCATGTTCCATTCAGCCCCATCCCAGTACCCAGTGACAAAAGCAACGCTCCCTCTTTATTATTCCTCCCTCCTCTTCAGAACATGCAGAGTGCTGCTCATGTTTTCTGATCCACTGGAGAAGTCCTGGGTCCTGAGCGTCTATTCCCATCAGGTAAAGAACCACATGGTGCCATGGACATGGGGGAGGCCAGATGTCCAGAGGCTCCCCATGCTCCTTCCCAACCCCACTCAGCTGGTCATTCCTATTCTGTAGGGTCCCTTAGAGAGAGATCAATTAGGCCAACCCACTCCCATTGCACTGGTGGGTAAACTAAGGCCCCAAGAAGGGGAGGGGCAGGCTTTCAGGTGGGCAGTAGACTCGCCTAGAAAGCTAATGTTTATTGGCTTTGACAAGCTAAACCCATGCCCCGCATTTGACATTCATTATCTCCACTCGGCGCGGTCAGCACGCCAGCTCCCCCGGATGAGGTGCTCAGAGCACCCGGTTCGTGACGAGGGCCACTGGGGCTCAGAGCCCTTATGCAGGAGCAGTAACCGGCACTCAGGCCCACATCTGTGTGATGCTAGAGTCCCTGCCCCATAGTATCTCTCCCTCAAAGAGGCCCCTGTGGAGCTCTCA